AGGCCCCCCACGATATCCCAACGAACATCCAAGAGGCCTCTAAGCCACAACCCAAGCGCGGCGGTGGCGGGATGGCGGGATGGGCCGAAAGCCACTATTAGATATTTGACCCGCGGAGGCGCCGCTGAGCCACCGCCCGTGGGGGCGTTCCCCCTCTCAGGCCCCTCTCGGGGCCGTCTTGGGACCTTATTTGGTGATTTTGGGCGCCATTTGGGTCGTTTGGGGGCCCAGCGGTTGGGATCACCATCATCATCATCACCACCGTCATCATCATCATCATCATCATCATCATCATCATCATCATCATCATCCTCATCCCGATCATCATCATCACCATCATCATCGTCATCATTGCAACCACATCATCTTCATCATCATCGCCACCATCAGTCTTCACTACACCATCATCATCACCATCATCGTCATCGTCACCATCATCACCATTACATGGTGGTATGAGGGAAGAAGTAGACTGGAGATGAGCGGCGGCGGCGGTGCAAACTCCCAGGAACTCCTGCCTAAGCCCTGGTTGGTCGTGGCGGAGGGGGCACGCGGCGGAGCCCCCACTGAGGCGCTGGGGGCGCGGGGAGGGAGGTGGGGGAAGTGGTGTGCGTCGCGACGCGGAATAAAGCTTTCGTGGCGGAGGGGGCAGTGGCCGGGGCTCCCGCTAGGGCGCTGGGGACGCGGGGCGGCTCGGGGCAGAGAGCCACGGCGCGGGGGTCCCCTTCTGGCGCTGGGAGCGGTGTGTGTGTGTGTGTGTGTTTGTGTGTTTGTGTGTTGTGTTTGTGTTTGTGTTTGTGTTTGTGTGTGTGTTTGTGTGTTTGTGTGTTTGTGTGTGTTGTGTTTGTGTTTGTGTTTGTGTTTGTGTGTGTGCGACGCGGAATAAAACGTTCGTGGCGGAGGGGGCAGTCGGCGGGGCTCCCGCTGAGGCGCTGGGGGCGCGGGGGGGCTCGGGGCAGAGAGCCGCGGCGCGGGGGCCCCACTCTGGCGCTGGGGACGCGGGGGGGGTGCGACGCGGAACAAGGGGCACGCGTGCCAAGGATCATACAATCGCGGATGCGAGACAGACGGCAGATGGCAATGGCGCCAAAAACGCGGGGTAGATGGGCGCAGGGGAGGAGCGGCGGGGAGGGCGCACGGTCGGAATAAGGCGAGGGGGGCCCGGGGAAGGCGGGGGGTGCACGAGGGAGCACGCGCGGAAGCTCGGAGAGGGTGGGGGAACCACGGGGGCCAGGGGAGGCGGGCGTAGGGAAGGGGCGGGGAGAGGGCGCGCGATCGGAATGAGGGGAGGGGGGGCCGGGGAAGGCGGGTGGAGCACGAGGGAGAAAGCGCGGGGGCCCGGAGAGGGCGGGGGCGCGCAGGGAAGCACGGAGGCAAGGGGAGGGGGGCGCAAGGGAGGAGCAGGGGGAGGGGGCGCACGGTCGGAATAAGGGGAGGGGAGCCCGGGGAGGGCGGGGGAAACACGGGGGAGAAGGCGCGGAGGCCCAGGAAGAATGGGGGGAGCACCGGGGCAACGGGAAGATGGGGGGCACGGGGGCAAAAGGAAGGGGCGCAGGGGAGGAGCGGGGGGAGGGCGCACGGTCGGAATAAGGGGAGGGGGGTCCGGGGAGCACGGAGGGGAGGGGGGGGGAGGGCGCACGGTCGGAATAAGGGGAGGGGGCCTCCGGGACAACCACCAGCACGACCATTGGCACGACCAGCCACCAGCGCGGCCACCAGCACCTCCGCAAGCACGACCACCAACACAACCACCAGCACGACCACCAGCACAACCACCAGCACAACAACCAGCAGGACCACCAGCACGACCACCAGCACGACCACCAGCACGACCACCAGCAGGGCCACCAGCACGACCACCAGCACGACCAGCCAGCACCACCAACCACCAGCACGACAACCAACACAACCAGCAGCACGACCGCCAGCACAACCACCAGCATAACCACTACCAACCACCAGCACGACGACCAGCACATCCACCAGCACAACCACCAGCACAACCACCAGCCCGACCACCAGCACGGCCACCAGCACCTCCGCAAGCACGACCACCAACACAACCATCAGCACGACCACCAGCACAACCACCAGCACAACCACCAGCACAACCACCAGGAGGACCACCAGCACGACCACCAGCAGGACCACCAGCAGGGCGCACGGTCGGAAATAAAGCAGTGCGAGATCACACCGGTAGGTATGATGATAAAGCGTTCGTGGTGGAGGGGGCAGTCGGCGGGGCTCCCGCTGAGGCGCTGGGGACGCGGGGGGGGCTCGGGGCAGAGAACCACGGCGCGGGGTCCCACTGGCGGCGCTGGGAACGCGGGGGGGCTCGGGGCAGAGAGCCACTGCGCCGGGGTCCCACTCTGGCGGTGGGGGCGCGGGGTGCAACGCGGAATAAAGCGTTCGTGGTGGAGGGGGCAGTCGGCGGGGCTCCCGCTGAGGCGCTGGGGACGCGGGGGGGCTCGGGGCAGAGGGCCACGGCGCGGGGGTTCCACTCTGGCGTTGGGGACGCGGGGGGGGGAGGGGGTGGTGCGACTCGGAATACATTGTTCGTGGCGGAGGGGGCAGTGGGCGGGGCTCCCGCTGGGGCGCTGGGGGCGCTGGGGGGCTCGGGGCAGAGAGCCACGGCGCGGGGGTCCCACTCTGGCGCTGAAGATGCGGGGGGGTGCGACGCGGAATAAAGTGGTCGGAGCTCTAGACGCCCTGTGCAAGATACTATCAGTGATACTAATAACACTACTAGCAGGAGTATGTTTCTTAAACAATAAGTCATATTCACATTAATATCACTACGATTGGCAATACCATGAGTAATACTGATGACACAGCTGGTAACAATGAGAACAACACTATTGTGCATAATGGGAGCAACCAATGATAGGCACAACACTTGAACAATAACAGTAAGACTGAGCTAGCATAGCAACATATAATGATAGCACTACCAATAGCAATACTGAGACAAGTAAGGACAACACTACTATTATTTTTTCTTTTCATCATACCAATAACAAAACATGAATACCAATAGTAGTATCAATAATACTGACACTAGTAGTACTAGTAATACTAGTGCACTCATAATACTAACAGCCAATACTCATACAAACTATATTTGTAACATTATTCACAATAATGGGAGTAATACTGATAATACTGATGCGAATGCTCATAAGAACAACAGGAGGAGCGAGGAGGAGGAGGAGGAAGGTGAGGAGGAGGAGGAGGAGAGTTCTTAGTGGATCTACGAATCAATACTTATATTAATAGTGATAATAATCGTAATGATAACCAAAACTAATATCAATAACAATAATACCAATAAGAATAGTAATAATGATAATAATGGTGACAATACTCATAAGAAAAACAGGAGCGAGGAGGAGGAGAAGGAGGAGGGTGAGGAGGAGGAGGAGAAGAGTTATTAGTGGATCCTGCACCCGACGAGAATGTCTCTCCGCGTCGGGAATGGCCGAGTCCGAGTTCAACTGGGTCTGAGATCAGCCGGGTCCGAGATCAGCTTGGTCCGAGATCAGCCGGGTCCGAGTGCAGCCGAGTCCGAGTTCAGCCAGGTTCGAGTTCAGCGGCCAAGTTCAGCGGGTCGGAGATCAGCGAGTGCAATCCGGTGCTCAGATGCCTCTCAAAACGGTCATGGCGTGCTTTTCCCGTTTTGAATTCACATGTTTTATTTCCGTTTTCGGGCCCGTTTTTTCCGTTGCAGTGGTAATTCGCAAAAAAAGTTCTTCCGTTTCCTTGCCGTTCCATGTTGTTTTTGTTAGTTTTCAGCGTGCCATGTTGTTTCCATTTCTGTCTCTCCCTTAGAGGTGGTCGGTCATCTCGCGAACCTAAGGTAAGGGCCCTTTGCGTCCTTCAGCCGCCGTCGGAGGAGGCGCCTGGAGCGGAAGAGGCGCTGCCGTTTCGACAGGTACGGGCTCGGGAGGCCCGTCCGGGCACGCTATGCTTGGTTAGCGGTGCCATCCCGAACGCGCGGCCCCTGCTGGCTAACACCGTTGACTGAGACGGCTGCGTCGGGGATTGAAGCAGCATCGTTTCCCACTTTCACTTCCCCGTTGCCCGCCTTGCCCGCCCGCTCCGTCTTTTTCGCCTGTTTTCCAGATGTTTCCGGTACGTTTTCAGCTCACGTGCAACCCGCGCCAAACAAATCTCTCCTGGAGCTCGAACCCCACCGGCGCAGCCGCCTCAGTCAAGGGTGCCAGTCGGCAGGGCCCGACCGCTCGGGATACTAGCGCTTACCAAGCAATCAAGCAATGGCGAAGCGCCCTGGCTCGTGTGTAGGTCCACCAAAGAATGTTTTAAGAATCTGCTTGTGGTCTGCACGGCATGTTCTTAGAACATTTCTGGCCGAGACTGTCTTGGTTTAACGCATCGGCTTTACGTTCTAAGAACATTGTTATTGTTATCCGAATAATCTTGGGTTCTAAGAACACGTCGTGGTAGGCCTAGAGGAATGCCGGGACGTTCGGCCTTGCTCAACAAGGAGGTGGACAGGAAAAGGAGCGGATGCAGACGAGGGCGAAGACGGGGCCGAGCCCGTGCCCGTCGAAGAAGGCCGCGGCTCCTCCGCTTCGGGCGCCCTCTCCGGCAGCGACCGAGGGGAGTGCCGCGGCCGCCCCTATCCTTATGTCGGGCATGTCTCCCCACAGGCGGGTTTTGGACGAAAAGCATACAATAGCCAAACACTAGTCAAAAACATTCAAAACACATACAAACAAATCGCCCCCAGACTTGTGTTTCAATGCTATGTTTGAAGATTCCTCCTGTAGAGGGACAGGCCCGACTTAACCCTATCCTGCTCGCGCGTGCCCGTTTTTTGTTGTTGTTGATGGTTTCGGGGGCCTTGGGAGGTTCTGGGTGGCGTCGTTTTCAGCAGTTGTTTTTTTTTTGTCCGTTTCCGTTTCCCACTGGAAAAATTCAAAATTAGTAATAAGGTTTGGGTTTGATGTCTCCACCATGTTTTGACTAATGATGTGAAGGCCATTCTGACTTCAACAACTCTGCCCCGGGCCCCGACGGCATTCTTTTCATGGCTTGAAGACGTTGCGCCAAGTTCTCGGCCGGCGTTCTGTTGGACGTCGCCCGCTTCCTCGGCGACGTAGGCCTAGAGGGCGTGGACGCGAAGCTCAACGAAGATTTTAACCACATATTGTTGTTCTTTCTCCCTAAGAAGCCTTCCAGCACGGCGTCCAACAGCGAGGGCCTCTACGAGCCCCCCAACGTCCGCCCGCTTAACGTGACCAACGCGGACAACAGGCTGATCGCAAACGCGGTGCGTATTCTCATTGAGCCCATCGTCGGCCCGAAAATCACGTTCACGCAGCTTGGCTTTGTGGGAGGGCGCTCGATGCTTGCCAATTTGGTCGGCATCGATGAGGTCACAGTTGAGGCTGCTTGCGTTTCCGACGAGGCAGCGGCGCTGTTCTTCGACTTCGCCGCGGCCTTCCCGTCGGTGGAGCACGAGTTCCTGTTCAAGGTTTTCTCTCGGCTTGGCTGGCCCACCTGGCTGCTGAATGTGATCTTGTTCTTCTACTCCAACAACGTGTGCACCATCGTTCTCGCGGGGGCACGACGCGCTGGATTTCCGATTTCCCGGGGGGTCCGCCAAGGCTGCCCGCTCTCACCTTTGTTACTTGCAATTGCATCTGACATACTTCTCCGTCGCATTCCTCGCCACGTGCCCCACGTCGTTCCTCGAGCTTACGCAGACGACACAGCGCTGGTTCATCGGCAGATATGGGAGCACCTTCCCACCATCGAGCAGATCTTCTCGGAGTTCGAAGAGGTGGCGGGTCCCCGGCTCAATATCACCATGACCGTGCTCGTTCCGTTTTGTGGACTCGGTCTTTCGGTGGCGCGCAGCAAATTGACTGCCGTGGCCCCCGACTGGGCCGGGCTAGAGGTCAACAGTTATGCCAAGTACTTCGGCTTTGTCATAGGGCCAGGACGAGGGTCTAGGACGTTGGACGGAACGTTGACCAAGTTCTTGAAGAGGGCGAAGCTCTGGGGAAAACTCGGGGTGGGTTCGTTGCTCTCGCTTGATGCGTACTAAGTGTTTATTGTTTCCGTGGTCATGTTCTGCGCGCAAGTGGATATTTTGCCAAAGAGGTTCGCCGTTTGCGAGGAGGCCGCGGCGCAGGCTCTGTTTCCAGGCCCTTGGGGTTGGATGCCGCCGGAGATGGCCATATCTCTAAGGATCTCTGCGTTCCCCAAAGAGCTGATGGACATGTCGCCCTGCACGAGGACTCCTGGAACGGCGGGCTTGCGGTGAGCAGGCGTGCGCCCTTTTTGACCCGTTTTGGCCCAGGCGGACCTGGGGCCCGTGGGCGACAGACAGCTGCGTCCTCAACCTCGACGCTGCGCTGAACGAGGCCTGGGCGGTTCTCGGCGACTACCCCAGCATTTTGGACGTAGCCCACCCGCGGCACAGCCGGGTTGGCTGGCAGGCGGCGGTCGCCCGCCGATTTCGTGCACCTCACGAACTGGATGCTCGGCGGTATCTTCGTAAATGCCTGGATCACTGGGTCGTTCCTGTCCTGCTGGGGCGGCGAGTCGATCGGTGGCTGCGACTGGTCACCAACATGTCGGAGCTGGTCCCGCCCAGGGTCCTCGCTGCACGGACCCGCACAACACTCCATTCAACAGGTGGACGACGCCCTGCCGCGGGCTTGGAAATCAAGGAGTTCATCGGTCTCGAGCTTGGCGTGGTTGAATACAACGGCAGCCTCATGAACGAGGAACGCCAGGCTCTGACGGCAGCGTCGGTGTATGCCGCTTCCCGCGTGCATGGCGTTGTCCGCCACGGCCTTTCGAGCAGCGCCGGGTCCGAGGCTTTCGCTGTTCACGTCCGCGAAGCGGTCCGCGGCCACGACAGGCTGGCAGGGCGCGTCCAGCGCGCGCACGATCGCGTGCGCCCGCAGTAGATCATTCCCCTCCCTTCTCTGTTCTCTCGCCGTCTCTGTCGGTCGGGTGCCGTCGTCGCCCCTCGCCCCCGCCCTCCCTTTCTCCTCCCTCCAAGCCTGTGGCCTCTTTATTTCCCGCGGCGGCCCTTCATGTCGCCTCCAGCTCATTCTGTCTATTCGTAGCTCGCCTCTCTGTCTCTCCCGGCTCTCGCCTGTCAACCATACGGGTTGCATTGGGGGTCGCAGTCTCTTTAGTTATTGCCGTTCTGGGCTGCCCGCCCGCTTCGAGATGATACGCATGCAGGCTTTTTATGTGTCATTATCCCTTCCCGCTCCTCTTCTTCTTCTGCTCCTGTCGTTTCGTTCTCCCTCGTCCTCTTCTCCTCTCTTGTCTCATGTTGTGTTGGATTTAGTGGCTCGGCTGACAAAGCCATTCAGTAATGGCGAGTTCCGCACAACGTCTCGGCACGCCAGGGGGAGATACGCTGCAAGGCAAATTCGTATCACTGGCAAGCTGGCTTCTCTCCCTCCTCCTCTCCCTCCTTCTTCTCCTCCTCTTCCTCTTCCCTCCTCCGTGTGACCGTCCAGACCGTTGCGGCGGATGTTTCATACCAGTGTGAGTGTGTGGCGACATCCGGGTTTCACGCAGGAGCCGCGAGAGCGAATGCGGCGGATGTTTCATACCAGTGTGAGTGTGCGGCGGCATCCAGGTTTCACGCAGGAGCTGCTCGCGAATGCGTGGTAGTCTCGGCGTGTTGACGCGGAAACTCGCAGTTCAGCACCGCTGTCTCGGCGGGGTGTGCTCTGGCAGTGAAGTTTTGCCGCATCACGGGACGACGTGCGTTACGATGTCCATCGGATGTCCGCGTCATGATGAGAAAATGTTTTGACTATTGTTGCGTCTGATTTTGGCTATTTCCAATGTTTCGCCCAACGTACGCCTGTAGGGGGACACGCCCGACCTAACCCTATTCTGCTCGCGCGTGCCCGTTTTTGTTCGTTCTGGGAGCCTCGGGAGGTTCTGGCTGGCGCCGTTTTCCGCAGCTGTGTTTTTTTTGCCGCTTCCGTTCCCCAGTGGCACCGTTTCGGTTTTCGTCGTCGAGTCTCGGTTTTTCTGTTTGCATGTTTCCACAATCGAAATTTGAAAAGGGAACAAAAATACCAGACCGTTTTAAGAGACAATTGACACCAGGTCCGAAATCAGCGGATCCGAGTTCAGCGGGTCCGAGTTCAGCCGGGTTTCGAGGTCAGCCGGGTCCGAATTCAGCAAGGTTTCGAGTTCAGCCGGGTTTGGACTCAGCCGGGACCGAACGTAGCCGGGTCCGATTCGGACCCGGCTGAATTCGGACCGTTCTAGTTCAGCCGGGATCGAGGTCAGCCCCTCTCCTTTGCGTTGCACTCGACGAGAGGGTTTCGCCGCAGCCAAAACGGTCAAGTCCGAGATCATCCAGGGTCCGAGATCAGCCGGGTCCGAGATCAGGCGGGTCCGAAATCAGCCGGCCCAGATCAGCCGGGTCCGAGTTCAGCCGTGTCCGAGATCAGCCAGGTTTTGGTTCATCGGTTCCAAGTTCAGCCGCATCCGAGTTCAGCCAGGACGGAGCGCAGCCGGGTCCGAGTTCAGCCAGGTCCGAGTTCAGCCAGGCCCGTGATCAGCCCCTCTACTTGCGGTGCACTCGACGAGAGGCTCGCGCCGCAGCCAGAAATGCTGGGTCCGAGTTCAGACCAGTCCGAGTTCAAATGGGTCCGAGATCAGCTGGGTCCGAGTTCAGCCAGGTCCGAGTTCAGGCAGGTCCGAGATTAGCTGGAGTCGAGTTCAGCCGTGTCCGAGTTCAGCCAGGTCCGAGATCAGCCAGGTCCGAGTTCAGCTGGGTCCGACGGTTCAGCCGGGTCTGAGTTCCTTCATGTTCGAGATCAGTGTTTCTTTTCGAGGCTTTGCAGCCGAGTGTACACATAAAACCAACGAGACCCGACAGGAACATTTAACTAGGCGTGATCTGGCCAAAGCTATTGTCGTCGTCGGAGCAAAGAGCCCGAGGCCCCATCCCTCCTGAATGAAGTCCTTCGAGCCGCGAGTTGACTATTTCATTCCACTCCTCCTCCCTCCTCGTCCTCCTACTCCTCCTCGTCCGCCTCTTCCTCCTCCTCCACCACCTCCTCCTCCTCCTCGTCCTCATCCCCTTCATCTGCCCACCCTCCGCCTCTCTCCCTCCTCTGCCCGCCCTCGCCCGCCCCCGTCCCCCCCTCTGCTCGCCCCCCTCCCCCCTCCGCCCTTTCCCGCTCTTCCCGAGGAGATAGGACAAGAATGAGAAATAGAGGATGAGGAATGGAGGAGGAAAGGATGATGCTGAAAAGGTTGAGGGACACATGAAGAGTGGAATGGGCGGTGAGAGCTGCTCCCGCTCTGCCGCCAGGGGGGCGCGCCGGCGCGGGCAATCTGATCAAGAGAATAGAGAAGGCTCGCCGTCGCAGGGGTGCGCAGGGCCAGGAGGAAGGCGGGATGAAGAAGGAGGTGGGAGGAGGAGGGAGGAGGAGGGGGACATGCAAGGAAAATGGGGGAGGAGGACGGAGAATGACGGGGGAGGAGGACGGAAGAGGAGGAGGAGGAGGAGGAGAAGGAGGAGGAGGAGAACGAGAAGGACGAGGGAGAGGAGGAGGAGGGGGGGAGGAGAACTGAGGGGATGGGGGCGGGATGGACGAGGAGGAGGAGGGAGGAGGAGGGGGAGGAGGAGGAGCAGGAGGAGGAGGAGAAGGAGGACGATGATGATGCTGACGCTGATGATAATGCTGCTGCTGCTGCTGATGATGATGATGAGGAGGAGGAGGAGAATGATGATGATGATGATGATGATGATGATGATGATGATGATGATGATGATGTTGATGTTGATGCTGATGAGGCTGGTGAAACTGATGATGCTGATGATGATGCTGCTCATGATACTGATGCTGATGCTACTGCTGATGATGCCGATGCTGCTGCTGATGATGTTGATGCTGATGATGCTGATGACGATGATGATGCTGCTGCTGATGATGATGCTTTAATGGTGTTGTGTTGTTGGTGGTGGTGATGGATG